GTGTCTACGAGATTGTTGTCAGGCGGATCAGGTGACATGAAGCAAACCTTTTTGAACTAAATGCTGAGGTCTAATTCAGGGTACCCTTTCTCGTCTAGGATGTTTTACACCACATTCTGTGAAAAAAAAAAATCTGAGTAGACAGGGCAGGTTGAAGAAGAGTGAGTTCACAAAAATTAAAGGTACTCATGAGTCTGGCTGATAATAAGCTCTAAGTTACTTTATATGACTGTTAGTTAATGGGTGTCTTAACACTTCCTTTTCATCCCAGCATACATTACTGTAATCTGTTTATTATGTGTTCAGTTCTCCTCCACAGGTTTGAGACTCTGACCACTTAATCAGTGACGTTGATGTTTTCCTGCTGCTGAGCTCTGCTTCACCACACAGCTTTCTGCTACACTGCCACCTCCAGCCAATCAAACACCAGATTAATTCACCCGGACTCTCTCTCTCTTTAAAGCACTCCTATCTGGACAGGGAAACCTCTCTGATTCTGAGAAACATAGCGGGAAAACCTTCCCACCTGCTGACCAAGGTGATGCCCCATTCACTACTGCACGCCCCTCCTCTCTCCTCTTGCATGGCAACACCCTGCCCCCTTCCTATATCTGTGCATGACTAAAATGCATGTGGTTTCACTTGGGATATCGAATTACAGGCACAGTGGATGCTAAATCCTTTTCTTTCCACTTCTCCTCTTCCGTCATCTTCTTTCCAGTAGTGTTGAAGGGGAGCAGTTTGTGTGTGTGTGTTACTGTAATGCACAGTGCCATGATGTGTCCTGTATAATCCCAGAGCTTTACAGAGGCTGCATTATGACATAATGTCCCCATGCGGTGTCATAAAACTCTCACCTTATTGGTCATCTAGTGCCTGATTAAAAAAAAACGATCTGTGTTCATTTGCCGTGATGAAGAATGTGTCCAGCAGAAATGCACTGTTAAGGTTTCTAGTTATAAAAATAAAATAGAGCAGCAACTTGATTTCCATTCATGGGCCAAGGTGATCGTGATAATAATCAAAAACTACAAATAAAACTCAAAAAAGCCTTTGTAGAGCACAAAATGATTCATTACATGTAGTTTACAAACTTTGCACTTGTTTCGTTCATAGTGGGGCACAGAAGTAAACTGATTTAAAATATTTAGAATATTTATGAAGATGAGTCATAACTAACTATTTTTTACCTTACCAGCCTTGTTTAAGCAGTGATTACCAACATGGGGTACATGTGCCCCAGGGGGTACTTCTGCAGTTCTAGGGGGTACATGAAAAGACTGCGGGGTAACTCAACTAATCAGAAAAAATGTAAATGAAAATATCAACATATTGAGCTGAAACCAGGTCCCCAGCTGAACACCAGATTTGAGAGTGCGTCAAAACTACTTAACATTAGTTAAGCAGTGGAGTCTAAATGGTTATCAAAATAGCTAAAAGTAACAGATAAATTGTTTATACAACCAAGAGTAACGGATAAATAGTTGAGACCAGCTTCTGCCACAAGTAGTACAAATGTAAAACAAACCTGAACACTGACAGTTCAACTGTATGAAAAGTCTGGCTTATAATCAGTGAACACAGTTGGAATATGATTATTGGTGTGTACTTGAGTTCATCTGACAGGACTGGGAGGGTACGCCTGAAAAAAGGTTGCAAATCACAGAAATGCCTCGTTTTTTGTCATTGGAGTACTAAAACACATTTATCTTAAAAGGTTTAAAATGTAAAAATAAACATTTGGACAAAATCTGAACACTATAACTAACCCGGTCATCAGATCAGTCCTGTAGAATAGCTGCGGAAACCACCATCTATTTAATACCATGACGCTGTGTTTGAGAGTTAATTCTGTAAAGCTTTGTGAATGCTGCCATTACTCTGATCACCTGTGCATTTGTGGGGAGAAAAGATTGTGCGTGTGCCACTACATCATACCTTTTCTGCATCTTACGCAGCACCTCTTTGGTTGGTTGTTTGCTGGTGAAGTTTGTTACAGTGACCACAGAGTGCAGAGGCTATTTTGCTTTTTTTCCTATGAAGCATGAAGGTTTGCTTTGTTTAAGAATAAGAAAAGGCATGAGTAAAAGCAAACTGTATCTGACTCTGTGTGCACAGTGTGTGATATATGAGAGTGTCATTGCTCATATCTGCCAGTGGCTGAAAGGAGTCTTACACGACTGCGATCACACGGGAGTTTAAACGCAGAAACAGGTCTACCAGTGTGCCTGCAGTCACTGAGCTCCACCATTTTACATTCAGTTGGCATAGCAGTCTTGCCTCTAATTGACCATTCCTGAGTCCCGGCCCTTTTGGTTCTGTGCTCCAATTGCAGTTGAACAAGCTTCGGTCAGAACCTCGGTCAGTGTTCTCCCTTCCTGTACTTAGATATGCTATGTGCTAGGCTTGTGTCATCTGCTCACGCTCATCTTAAGTTAGCTAGCTAATGGTAACAAAACACTAGCTTACCAGCTAACTAAAAGTTGATATAAATTAGCTAGTTAGTTATCCAACATTTTCTTACATTAGCATTTAGATGTAACTAGCTAGCTAACAATTGGTGTAGATAATTAGTGATTAGTGTAGTGCTAGCTAGCTATCTAGTTTGCTTGCTAGCGTTTTTCTAACATTAGTTAGCTAACTTAAAATGTAAGTATATTAAGGATATTTTGCATCTTTTAACTTTGTTCAAAATGTGGTTGAGTTTTCAACATGGACGAGCCTAGCACATAGCGTACAGGAAGGGAGGAAGTGGACCGAGGTTCAGACCGAGGCTTGCTCAACGGATATTGGAGCGCAGAGCAAAAAGGGGCGGGGCTTAGTAAGGTTCCGCTGTATGGTAGAGAGATACAGTGTCAGTGACGGAAGGAACCTGACCTCTTTTCAGCCTGTTTTCACAAACGTGTCAACATTGCAAACAAATAGAGTGTCACCCTTGACTACTAACACACATCCTGTGTGATTGTGCTGTAAGACTCATTCAACAACACTGTGTGCTTGTGATGAAATGTGTTGGATGATGATAATTGTAATGATGATGTTGGAATAAGTTACTCATGTTTTATGAGACAGGTAAGTGTGACAGTCAGCGCTTCTGTGTCTGCTTTTATCCGCTGAAATCAGTCAAGTGGTGATCGTATGGTCATGTCGTCATTTAATAACTGCGTTTACATTGTACATTTAAATCTGATCAACAAAACCAAATCAAACCAAAGGTCAATACTGGGGAATGTTGCATATGTTTTCGAACACAATACTTACTAATTTAACGGCAAGCTTTTGTGTTTGGAAGTTGCCATATTCAGTGTTGAGAAGATATTGAGGAGTCTCTCTCTGTCTGCAGTGTGCCTGTGTGTATGTGAAGTACTCTGGTTCATTCTGGCTTGTTCTTGTTAATGTCTGCTATGTCTGCTCCTGTGCTGGGAAACAATGACTCCTTGTCCATGATGCTTTTTATTGCACTCTTTTCTAAACAGCATTGCTGGGTCTAAATAGATGAATACCTGTGTTTTATTATCAGAAACAGTAGGCTGGATACCAGTTAATTTCCCCCAAAACCTCAGTGTGTGTAGTTTGATAACCTGAGAGGAAGTTGCTAAGCACCCTTGTTTTGTTCTGTTGACAGTTTGGAGCTCAGCCAGTCGCAGTAATGGAGCTTAGTAGATGAGCCTGGTGCTAGCTCAAACCGATCAATGCAGATAATGGGACTAGCTACTGCTCTAATTGTTGTTTCGTGTGTGTTGGTTTCAAAAAAAACCCAGGGATCGGGATGGGCTGGCCTGGGTTGGAGATCAAGGCCTTTTTCCTTGGGCTTCTGGGTGGGAGGAGAATTACTTTTCAAAAAATAAATCACGTTTGAACATCTGAGAAAAACATGAAGTCACAATTTTGAGGAGGCTTAGTCGAAATTATAATTCAGCATCTTTGATGCAATACTACATAATGTACATGAATGCCCTTGGATAGATGGCTGTTGATAATATGTGACAGTGATGTTAGTCTTTGCTGCTCTTAAGCTAAAGCTGTAGGCTTCTTAATGGCTGAGGGCAAAGTTTTATTTATCTGTGTGTGTGTGTGGGGCGGGGGCATTAGGTAGAAAGTAAGGAGGCTTTATTCTGATTGGATCGGCAATGTCATGAGTTGATTGGATGATAAAGCAGATGAGGCAGTTTGATTGGATGTTAGAAGAATGTGCCAGATCTGCAGGGGATAATCTTCTTTGGTGCAGAGAGGGGGTGATTCCCTGTAGCATCATACACACACACACACACACGCACACACACTCACAGCAGCTGGCAGGCAATGGGCTGTCTCGTTTGGAGTTCTTGGCTGTCTTTGCAATGGCAGCACACAGACATATAAATCTGCTCCAACTCCTCCTCATTTTATCAACCTGTCTCAGTTTGGAGAAAAAAATAATCTCTTCCTAAATCTCAGGGGTTTAAATAGAGTTTTGGATCAAGAAGACCCCAGCAGGCTACCGCAGTTTGACGTCCTCTAGTGGACATCCCTGAATTATCAGTTTGTGCTCTGGAATACAACTGATGTACCATCGTAACAGCACAATACAGGCCCCAGACATATGAATATAGTCAGATTAATGCTTTAATTTCAAGATCTGTTTATCTCAGAGCAGCTGCCACTGGCTTCAAATCCAGCTTGCACTGCTGCAGAGCAAGCCAAGATAACCCTTCTCATCGTCATTGCTCCCTTCCTGCACACTCCACTGATTCATGGCATGAAATGCTCTAAGCTGCCTCTGAAAAACCTTATTTTGTTTAAATTTGTGGTCCCAGATTAGAGTGGGCAGGGCCACTGTGGACCCTGAGTCTGCAGGCAGATTATGAGCAGATTATGAGCTGTGGGGCCAGTCTAATTCCTGGAGCAGTGATTAGGCTGAGGGTGTAATTATCACATTGGCGCCCTTGGCTTTCCACGGCACATCTGTGTGTGTGTGTGTGTGTGTTTGTGTGTGTGTGTGTGTGTATACGCAGTAGTGTGTGTGTAGCTCTGCATGTAGCATACTCTTTCTGTGTCAGTGTTACACTGCCTCAGCAATAAATGCACTCCACCCACACACTCCCTCATTCACACATACACACACTGCTGGCCCACTTCTGCTGCCTGCCTCTATATAAGTCTCATCTCTCCCCTCTGTTTTGAGCCTATGGCTGCTCAGGAGGGACACATCTTCTTATAACTTCAAAGGCAGCAGGATCTTTCCTGGGCAGAAGCTAATTTTAGTGGCTCTGTAATGTAGGTCAGCTGAATATCTATGGGCCGGAGAGAAAACATTTACGCTGCAAGCTGGGAATGGCGCTGACTGCTGCGGTGGGAGGCGAAAGAAAAACCCACTGTCATCTGTGGTGGATGGGACAACAAAAGAACTACTGAAAAAATCCTTTTTACCTAATAGAAACTGAGCATTTTATGTCCAAATGAAAATGCAATACGATGCCATTAGAGAGCATTACAGACCAAAAGAGGGCAGTGAAGGCAGATTTTGGCTTAATGGATAAATCAATGGATTATCATATATAAATGGGTTTTAATTGGTTCTCTGAATGGATAAAAGGGTTTTAAAGTGATAAAACGCCTTAAATTTCACCAATT